ATTGAAGAAGATGATCTGAGCATAAATCGCAATTTGCGAAAAAGAAAATTAAATGACACAACTGAGAACTCTAAATGCAAAAGAGCACGTGAGGTTTACCACAGCAACGCTGATTTCAGGCAGAAAAAAATTGAGAACTCTAAAACAAAATACCGTGAAGACAGTGATTATAAAGACAAAAAACTTGAAAATCTTCGAAGAAAATATAAAAACAATATTAATGTAAGGCAGTCAAAACGTGAAAATTCAAAGATTAAGTATTCCACAAATATTCATTTTCAAAAACTTGTTCGCCACTATTCTCAGACCAAGTATAAAAGCAATAAAGCCTTTAGAAGAAGTGTATGTGAATATTCAAGAAATAAGTATCGCAAAAACTCTGCATTTAAGGCGAGTGTACGTCAATATTCAAAGAATAAATATCACAGAAACCTCTCATTGAAAGCTAGCGTGTGTCAATACCCAGCCTTTAAAGCCATTGTTTGTGAAAATTCTAAAAGGAAATACAACCCACTAAACATTGGACGTCGGATAGACGTACAAATCATGTCTATATTGGGTCCGTCGGTCCATGACCAATTCTGGACGTCTATTCTTTGTCCAAACTAGGTCCACTATTTGGACGTCCAACCATGACCTAACTTGGACGTCCTCTTGACATTCAACTTTTGACCTTTGAACTTGGTAATTTTTTTGACGTCATTTGGACGTCTATGACAGTTGTAGAAAATACATGATTTAATTGTTTTATTTACAAATAGCGCCTATCAACATGATTAATACATATGAATACAGATTATTTATAAACAAACACAATTTATTATCTGTATAATTTAATTTAAGTTTTCTTTTTCTTTTCTTTTTTCTTTTTCCTGTTTTTCTTTAACAGTTTTTATTTTATTTTAACTAGCCTAATCAAGTTGTTTATTTATCCGTATGTTTGCATTAATATATTTATTTATTTGGAAATATAATTTGTGTGAAATTCCAAACATAATTTCATGTTAGCCTAGTACTATATGCATGTCCACCTTATTCCTATCTTAAAAAGAACCAACAGCAGCAAAAAAAAAAAAACAAAAAAAAAACCTTTGGATTTCAACTAAAGCCTAGTTCACACTACGTGATTTTAAGCCCGATTTAAGCCCGATTTGCAAATCGTTGAGTCGCCGACAAGTCAGGGTGTTATCGCGTGCAAATCGCGGGCGATTAGCGGACGATTAACGCTCGCCAATCCGATAGTGTGAAAGAGCCAACAACGCATCAAAGACAGCTCGCAGACACCTCGCAGACAGGTCACCGAGCTCAGAAAAATATCTAGCATGCTAGATATCTCGCGCAGTCGCGCGACTCAATCTCAGTGATGTCATGAGTACAGCCAATCATAGCAACGCATGGGTTGAGGACACCAGGTAAATCTTACTTTTTCTTTTTTGCATTTTTTTTTCTCAGAGCAGATCGTCGAGCAAACAGTGTGCAGCACTAGTTTCTGTCTGACGTCCATATTCGCGTGTTGTGTTCTTCTCTGCAGTTTCGCGTCATTTCTGGTTCGTTTTATTGCGTGGTTTTTCGTGACAAAACATGGTTTCTAGACCAGATAGAATCGTGTTGTTGTCAACTCGTTATTTGTTTGATTATTTTCAGGATTTAGACCGTACTATAGTACTGAAACAGCTCTCATTGAGTCACAAATGATATGCTCTTATCATCCGATCGTGGTTGTATCTCTGTGTAGTGCGTTGTTAACTCGTGTAGTGAGTTACGTCCTGTTGTGGATCAAACACGTTGTGTTGTGTGGTGTGAACAGCTAAACAACTTGAACACTGATGATTTCACTGAGAGCAAGTCATTTAGTGTGAACTGCACAGTTCAGCCCGACATTTTAAAATCATGTAGTGTGAACTAGGCATAAAGAGTCAAAAACCAGTCAACATCACTCTGATTGACCGAGGCAGCACGAGCACGTCATCATAACCCAACCAATAAACGCCACTTTTATTGGCCCGAGGCAGCACGAGCACATCATCATCACCCAACCAATAAACGTCACTCTGATTGGCCCGAGGCAACACGACAGCCGTTTGGCGCGAGGCGGAGCCGTGTTCAAGTATTGCTGGACGGCACAGCTTTTCATCGCTGGTGAAGGTGAAAATTCTGCTAAATTGAAGGTAAATTCGGTCAGCCTATTGAATTCAATGTCCATGTGTGCGTATAGTCTTAGCTAATTTGGCGTTATTGTCTTAAACTTCACAATACAACCGCGAATGGCCAAGGGCGTTAACATTCACGTTGCACATTTTTTGTTTTGTTTTACGTTAACGTTAACTTGGCTTGCTGCTAAGGATCATGTTCAGTTTCGTTGTTATTTTAGAGGTACACGAGAGAACATGTCACTTTGAATAATTCTCGACACTAAACTGCACGTATATTAATAGCAGTTAGTTGTAACTAAACGAACTTAACGTTAACGGCTCTTTGCTAACTAGTTTTGCGTCAGTATAAGTTACTAGGTTGATGATGTTACCGTCCCTTAGTCACTTTCCATGTTCATTATCATCATACGTTTTACTGTAAACCATTAAAGGTGTTTTGTCTCTGATACCACCCTACTGGTAAGTTATAAGAAACGAACACAAACGTAGGTTGCACGTTGTTATCTGGCTGCTAGCTAACATTAGTTACTAGTTTTGGCTGTTTTAGGGCCTTTTTACAATACATTCATTCCGAATATTGTCAGAAATTAGGAAAAACGTTTTTACCACGGTCAGGGTCATACAAACTCAAAGCGCATAATATGCTTGTGTGCTCTATGCTACATTAGTTTGCAACACTTAACCTGTTAACTGTCAGCGCCCTTTTTTGAGTAGACATGAAAATGCACATTTCAAACTTAAATGGTTGTAAATAAGACATTTGGCAGACTTTTGTAGAAGTGAAATAAATTAAGAAAGTGATACAGAAAGTTTATGGAAATGTAAAAAAAAAAATAATTATTCATATTTTATATGAAATATATATTTTTAAAAACTGGGTGACTCTAAAACTGCAAAAATATAAAGTAAAAAATCTGAACAAGTTGTGTTTCAAAATTTTGGTTTCTCAAATGAGCTTTCAGAGACTTTGTTTGGCCGCAGTACCAAACGTTTCATTTCTCATGTTCATTGCTATTTCAAAATAAAAGGTCTGAACACGCCTTAGGAATATGAAAATATTCTTGTTGCAAATTGATAAATTATGGCTCCTCTGTAATTTATTTTGAAAATCACAAAATATGCAAAGTAGAGATTGTAAGCTTTCAAATGAGATATAGTTTGTCAAGATTAGTTTAGGTTTAGTATAGGATATTACTGTTTTAAATATGTAATGGATTTGTGCCCACCGGTGTGCCTGTGACCGTTAACAGGATTATTTCACTTTCAAATAAAAAATGCCCTGATAAATTACTCACCCCCATGTCCATGTCTGTCTGTCTTTAGTCGAAAATAAATTAAGGTTTTTGAGGAAAACATTCCAGGATTTTTCTCCATATAATGGACTTATGGCAACCAACTATTCAAATGTTCAAATGTCCCTCAATGCAGCTTTAAAGTTCCTAGACAATCCCAGTAGAGAAATAAGGGTATTATAACATTAAAAAAAAAAAAAACTTATACCGAGTACACAGTACTTTTACCAATAAAAAATTATTGGTCTTATCCAGCGACATTTAAAAAAAAAAAAAAAATTTAACCGCCAATTCCCATCTTGTACATCTCTGAGATGCGACATCACGTTGTAAAAGTTATGAAAAAATAAACCAAAGATGTTGGACTATTTTGAAGTTGGAGAAGAAAATGAGTTGGAATTTTCACAGACGAATACATACAAATAACTTGGATGATGTGACGCCTGACCATTCCAACATGATGACGCAATGCAGGGCGCATCTCAGAGATGTATTTTTTCCTTTTCTTTTTTAAATGTTGCTGGATAAGACCCTTATTTCTCAACTGGGATTGTGTAGGATTGTGTTCTTTGAACATTTGAATAGTTGGTTGTCATTAAGTCCATTAAATGGAGAAAAACTGAAAAGTTTTCTTTAAAAACCTTAATCTTTTTTTTACTGAAGAAAGACATGCATGGACATCTTGCTTGACATAAGGGTGAGAAAATTATAAGGATTTTTTTCTTTTCTTGAATGTGAACTAATCCTTTAACTTTTGTGTGATGGAGAATGAATATGTTAAGGAATTTAACCCATTTTTTGTCTCGTGTGCTCTAGGACTGAGGTGATAAACCAAGTGAGGAGATAAACCACCTAAACAAGGTACATGTTGTGATCTCATCCTCTTTCCTTTTGTACAGGCCCCTGTAAAATAAACAGTAAAACTTAAGTTATGACAAACGACTGTGTTTACAGATGACTTTCAGAATAAGACAGTGGCGGAAACGCCAAAGAGAACTGGATCAACTGCTCTGTTATTCTGACAGTGATGAAGAGGCCGTTGAAAATATATCCAACAGTGTGCCTGGTACTCCAAGTTGTAGCAGTGACGGTGTGCCTAGGACCCCAGATAGTGTAATGAGTGACAGTGTTTTTGGGACATCAAATGATTTTGACTTTGACACTGATGTGGACTACTGCTCAACTGATTCGGAACAGGAACCAAAGGAAGCTGAAGTGACCAGCTTTGAGACACTGGGCCTTAGAGCAAAGATTGACACACAGAGCACTTAATGGTCTATTGCCCATATTAAGAAAGCAAGGGAACATTGCCTGTGGATTGCCGGACACTCCTTGCTACACCACAGCATAACACAACAGAGCCTAAATGTGGTGGCCAGTACAAGTACTACGGCTTAGAAAAGGGTATCTGTCGGTATTTAAGTCAGATGGAGAGTAATGATGTGCACCTCAACGTAAACATTGATGGCATCCCACTTTTCAAAAGTAGTGGTGTTCAATTCTGGCCAATACTGGTGAAGTGTGGCCATTTTGATCCATTCATTGCAGCCATGTTTAGTGGACAAAGTAAGCCAAGTCCTCTTGAGGAGTATTTAAAAGACTTTGTGACTGAATACAAACATCTCAAGGACAATGGAATAGTTTTTAAAGACCAGACTTACACTGTCAATATTGATGCTCTGATATGTGATGCCCCAGCAAGGGCATATCTGAAATGTATCAAGGGTCATACTGCCTATGAGAGTTGTGAAAGATGTGTAATCAGAGGTACTCGTTTTGAGGGAAGAATAGTTTTCTGTGAACAGGAATGCACTTCTCGAACAGATGACAGTTTCTCCAGAGTGGAATACAGTAACCACCAAACTGGTATCAGCCCATTCATTGCAGCAGGAATTCCTTGCGTCAGCTCTTTTGTCCTAGATTATATGCATGTCGTCTGCTTGGGAGTAGTTAGGCGCCTGCTAATTTACTTGACTCGTGGACCAAAGATCTGTCGTTTATCTGTGAGGCAAAAGGATGCAATTTCACAAAAACTAATTGCACTGAGAGGGAAGATGCCAAGTGAATTTGCTCGACAACCGCGGGGTTTGCATGAAATTGATAGGTGGAAAGCCACTGAACTCAGGCAGTTTTTGCTGTACACAGGTCCTGTGGTTTTGAAAACGGTGTTGTCCCCTGAAAAATACCAACATTTCTTGTCATTGACGGTATCTATGTCGATAATGCTGGAGTCAGATGAGCGTATTCGAAATGCCTATCTCCAATACTCTCAGGACCTCATCAAACACTTTGTAATGTGCTGTGCTGACCTGTATGGCAAGACCTTTCCTGTGTACAATGTACATGCACTAATTCATCTCAAAGAGGATGCCAGCCATTTCAACTGTTCCTTGAATAACATTTCCTGTTTTCCCTTTGAAAACTACCTACAACAAGTCAAGAAACACGTGAGGAGTGGGAGAAGTCCCTTGGAACAAGTGACTAGGTTTTTTTATGAAATCGAGCAATCAGAAGTGGACAATAGCCAAAGACACCCTAAAGTGTTTGTCTCTGTTAAAGAAAAGGACAGTTGTTTTCTTTTGAGGGACAACAGTTTTGCTTTTGTTCGACAGAAAAATGCAGATGGGTCTTTTGCTTGTGAAATTCTGCGCCAGCGTCACACTTCACCATTATTTCACCAACCGTGTAGCTCTGGACTTCTGAACATAGTGTGCATAGGAAATGATGTCAGGATGAAAAATGCAGTACTGCAAGAAAGGGATCTGTTCCGGAAGGTGGCCTACCTCCCACAAGAAGCTGGTGGTTCTGTCCTCATACCCCTTCGCCATAGTCAGGAACACACACATTAAGGTTATTTTTTTTTTAAACAAATTTTTTAGCTAGATTCCATCAGGGATCAACATAGCTGATCACCTGTTTCCATCCGTATGCTTTCTGTATCTTCCTTGGTGACTCCTGCATGTCCTTTCTTACTGCATCCATAAAACTCCCCGGGCCTCTCTCTGTCCTCTTGCCACAATATCCCACTCCCAATGTAACCCTCATAGCCCTTCCATTCATGTCCAAAAATTCTCAATATCTAAACTTTGAACTAAAAAGTTAAAAACTTATCCTTTCCAGGTCATGTACACGAGAGCAGTTTGGAGGGAGGGTACCCAAGAGGAGGAGGGTGTAGTTCCTGACAGTTGGATTGACAGAGAAAAGAAAACTGTCAGATGGCCACGTAAAATGAGCGTTACAAAAACAAAAAAAGCAATAAAGGACAAAATGAACCCCCAGGATGATTGGATGACATTCTCATTAATAAAGATAAAAATTACATCAGCCAAGTTTTGTAAAAAAAAAAAAAAAAAAATCAGATTCATCAAATAGATAAATAGAAAATTAAATGCATTTCCATGTCAAAATATTGTTGAATTCTTTGTTTTAAGGTGAATTGTCTAATTTATAGATAAGCCTGGCGAATGTGACGCATACAACCTGACCAGCCAGGCAGAGGAGGACGACGACGACGATGAGGTTATTAGATCGACGAGGAAGCGCACTAAAAAAGGAATTCCGGAGGATTTGTTAGAAATGGTATGTTTCTCATTCTCAGATACTTTATACATTTGAAATATAAAATTGGTTGTTACAAATTGGGCCTGAAACTTGAGACATCAATGTTTGAAAAAAATAAATTATTTTTTGCAGAATTATCGGATTCGGATGAGAGTGTCAGGGCCAGGGGTAATGGTCTTCTCTTAAGCCTAGTTCACACTACATGATTTTAAAATGTCGGGCTGATCTGTGCAGTACACAGTACATGACTTGGGCTCTGTGAAATCAGGAGTGTTCAAGTTGTTGAGCTAGTTCACACCACACGACACAACGTGATTGATCCTCAATAGGGGGTAATGCACTACACGAGTTGACGACAACCCAACAATTCAATCTTGTCTACAAACCACATTTTGTCACGAAAAATCAAGCGATAAAACGAACTGGACATGACGCGAAATAGCACGCGTGCCAATACCCAGCGAAGAAGAACACAACACGCGCACATGCCTTGCTGAACGATTTGCAAATCGGGCTTAAATTAGGCTTGAAATCATGTAGTGTGAACTAGACTTTAATGAATTTATAATTGCAGTTTCAAAACAAATAAAATTCTTTAAGATTATATATTTTGATATGGATATGCTTAGTTCCCTTTCGTAGTCACTTCGAGTTACGTCAGAAGTGACGGAGATTGGGGGTTTCGCATAGAAAGCCAATCCTCTTCGAGTATTTAAAAACGAGCCAATGGCGTGCAATGCCTTGGGGCTGCGGAAATTTGCATAGCGTACTCCGCCCTACTCCGTGAGTATAAAAGGAGGAAGTGAACGCAACCGCAGTATGTTTTCGCTTCGGAGCCAAGAGAACCTCTTCACTCCTGAAAGCCATTCTCACTGTTCAAGACTCTTCGAGACAAGCGTCTTCTTCAGTGTTGGTGTGACGGCGGTACCCAGCGAGATTCTGCATCGCCTGCGATCTGAGCAGTGGTCTGCCAGACTTTGCGCTTCTCCCTGGTCGCCTCAGCGCTGAAAGAGTGAATTTCCTCCTCTCATTGAAAGAGCTGCACGTGGCACGTCTTTTTAAAGATGGTTCGCCCGTGTTCTTCTGGGTGTGGTCGATTTCTATCGTCATCTGATGGTCACGATCGCTGCTTTGTATGCCTGGGCATTCAGCATGCAGCAGCAGCGTTTGTGGATGACTCATGTTCCTTCTGTGGGAACATGACCATGTCTACACTGAGGTCGAGACTCAATGATCTGACTAAAGTGAGAGTCCCGGTCCCCCCTACTCGATCGGCTTCCTCCACGGGGGGCCCGTCGACCCGGGGACCTGGTAATCTAACGGTGACGGTGTGGAACAAAGCCCCGACGATTCCTCGGGCCACACCTCCCGCCTCAGTGCGAGAGCCAGCGAGCGTTAGTTCGATTCAGTCGGCCGCTTCTTCGGCGGTACCGGCTGCTTCGAGCAGCGCTCCAGATGATGATGCGATGTCGATCACAGCATCACTAGGCGGGCTAGAGTCCTCGGGAGATGAGGATGCGGCTGCGTTGCCTCCTTCGGGAGTGCCAGCGTTGCCTGTGTCGGATCCCGAGCTGACGGCCATGCTGTCTCGAGCCGCTGGGAGTATCGGGTTAGAGTGGAACCCTCCGCCCTGCCCCGATCTCTCACGGATGGATGATTGGTTTTTGGACAAAGCTGCCGCCGCAAGGCCACGGCCAACTCCATTGCCTTTCTTCCCCGAGCTGCATGTGGAGTTATCGCGCTCTTGGGGGGCTCCCCTGTCCACTCGAGAGCGCGATCTTCCCCCGCCTTTCCCCCCCTCGATGGTGGGGCCGCCCGTGGGTACACTGGGATGCCCCCGGTGGAGCGCTGTGTTGCGATGCAGCTGTGTCTACAGAGCGCCTCCTCCCGTGGTCCTCCTAAGCACCCATCCAAAGTGTTGTGTTTATGTACTTGACAGGAGATGGCGCTGTAGTTCACATGATGTTACCTATAAAAGGTGTAGAGTAAGAAAGGAGGTTGTTGCACCTGCTGTCTAATTATGTGACCGTGTGGCACTGTTGCCTTGCTTGTGGGTTTGAATAAACCTTGAAGAATTTACAAGTTTCTTGTCCTCATGATTACCAGAACTTAAGACATAACAAATTGGCGACGAGGATTTTTGCTGGTCTACATGAAAGATGTCTGCCGTTGCTTCTTTTCCTACGCCATTCTTGCCATGCCCTGGTGAGCCGTCTATCCCCTTTGACGTCTGGTTAAAGATGTTTGAGAATTATTTGCTTGTTGTAAATGCATCAGGAGATGACTGGCCAGTAGCAAGAAAGCGAGCTTTGTTTCTTCATTGTCTGGGAACAGAAGGCCAGAGACTGTTCTACACTTTACCAAACCAAGGAGAAACAATGGAGGATGCTATTGAGACTTTGAAACTACACTTTATTCCTCGACGTAATGTTGTGGCTGAGCGTCATGCATTCAGAAACCGAATTCAAGCACCAGGGGAGACAATCCTACAGTATGTTGCTTCTCTTCGGGACTTGGCCACGACATGTGAGTTTGCATCTAATAATGATGAAATGTTGCGAGATCAACTAGTGGAGAATGTAAACAGTCATCGTGTTAGAGAACGTTTGCTACTAGAGACTGATTTGATTTTTAACAAGGCTATTACTATTGCTACACAAATGGAGGCTGCTGCTGAACAAGCTAAACTTTTTTCAAATCAGACTTCTGTACCTGTGCAAGCAATTCAAGCAACAAGTGTGCCTGCTGTTGATCGTTATAAAAGACAATCAAGTTTGAAATCACCTCTGTCTGTGCCTTCAATGTCTGTTGCTACTTCCTTGGCTCGTGCATGCTATCGATGTGGATCTACAAAACATCTTGCAAATGATTCCAGATGTCCTGCAGTTTCTGTAAAGTGCAATAATTGTCAAAAGTTGGGACATTTTTCAAGAGTGTGTCGTTCACAGCAAGCACGTTCTGTACATGAAATTGAACTTCCTGAGCTTCAGATACTTTACATGCATGATTCAGTACCTAATAAGATAAGGTGTACTACTAGTATCATGACTGCATCAGCTTCTGTAACTGTGGAGTTGATTGTGGATTCGGGATCTTCCGTTTCCATTCTGCCAAAATCTGTGTATGAAAAACACTTTAAACAAGACTCTTTGCTGCCTCCTCCTGTTAAATTGGTGACGTATTCAAGAGATCCAATACCAGTGCTTGGCTGTCTACCTGTTACTGTTACCAGAGATAACATTAAGGTTCTCGTAGGTTCTCGTCTGCTATGGCGGCGCGTTCCTATAGAGCGGAGCGGCCTCCGCTTTGCATGCGATGAGCACTTTGCAGGTCTTCCAAGCGAAGCTGCTCAGAGATATGCACGAGGGCGGGACTGATCCAACGGCATTCAAAGATTTGCGGTCCGCCACTGACCTTGCTCTCCGGGCGACGAAAGTGGCCGATCGCGCCGTTGGTCAGGTGATGGCCACCAGTGTGGTCCAGGAGCGCCATCTCTGGCTCAACCTGGCAGACACTCGGAGCGCTGAGCGGACTCGTCTGCTCGACGCCCCACTCTCCCAGGTTGGCCTTTTCGGCGGTGCAGTCGAGGACTTTGCCCAGCAGTTCTCCACTGCCCAGAAGGAGACGGAGGCAATCAAACATATTCTGCCCCGACGACCAGCTGCTGCCTCCACCCAGTCGTCGGCACAGATGCCTCCCGCTGCTCGCCGCCGAGGACGCCCCCCCGCGGCTCCCCTCCCTCCCGCCCGGCCCCAGCAGCAGCCTTCATCCGGGCCACGGCGTGGAGGAGGCCGCAGGCAGGCGTCACAGCCCCCTCAGGCCGCACGCCCCGCTAAACGCCAGGCTAAGCGACGTTCCTGACACGGGCTGCTCAGTGATGAAGTTGAGTTTTTCTCAGGAGGCGGTAGCAGGCCCCCTCCTTCCCCCGGTGGAGGGCCGGGGGAGAATCTTTTGTTCTCAGCTCCCCGCTGCTCACCCACGGGTGGGCAGCACCCTGAGTTGGTTAAAGAAAGACTTGACATCATCACTGAGCACACAGACAGGATTGGGTGCGCTCGACGTCCGAGTGCGTCAGCCCACTCATTCCTCTCTGTCTCTGAGGGCGCGGAAGGGAGCGTGTGTCGTCCCCGGGCTACGCCACTCCCTTCCCCCTCTATCGCCAGACCCCCGGCAGAACAGACCCCCGTGGAACGCTCTGCCTTCCCTGGTCTCTTCTGTCGGGGAGCGGGCTTCGACGGTGCATCCGGGCGGGGTAACTCCTGCGCGCATGCCGGTCGATCCGTCTCGCTGCCCCTCCGGGGGGACGTCTGTGGTTCGGATGACCCCGCTGGTTCACTTCCTGGAAGCCTGGCTAGAGCTTCCCGGGCTGTCCCGCTGGGTCATCAGAACGATCAGATTCGGCTACGCGATTCAGTTCGCACGGTCTCCTCCCCGTTTCGGGGGAGTTCGCTCCACGATGGTCGGTGGCAATGCCCCGGTCATGAGAGCGGAGATTGCGACCCTGCTGGCGAAGGGTGCAATCGAGACGGTCCCTCCAGCCGAGATGAGGTCCGGGTTTTACAGCCCCTACTTCATTGTCCCCAAAAAGACCGGTGGGTTACGACCGATCCTGGACCTGCGCATTTTGAACCGTTCTCTCCATCGACTACCGTTCAAAATGCTCACAGCCAAACGCATTCTCGAATGCGTTCGGTTTCAGGATTGGTTTGCAGCGATCGACCTGAAGGAGGCGTACTTTCATGTCTCCATTTTGCCTCGACACAGACCGTTTCTTCGGTTTGCTTTCGAGGGCCA